AAGTCTCACTTTAAAGGCTTCTTGAATTTAATCCGATTAAGTTCTTGTTGCTTAATATTTAAATTTAAAGTATCACTCAATGCAAAATAATTTGTTCAAGTCGATGGTGCTACCCACATTAAGCCTTCTTTTCCCATGTTAATAACATGTTAACGCTTCCAAAAAAATAGACATTGAAACCGTTCAAAGCCGCCTGGAAAAAGCGTATGGCAGTGCTTCCCGAATTTCAGTTATAAGCCGCACAACTTAGCCGGCTTTGGCATCCGGTAGCAGCTTGCTGGTTCGTTCTTAATCATTGCCCACTGGCCCGTTGACCATTTAGCTCTCAACGACTTCCGTTACGCTTGAAAAGAATTCTTATTTATTTGTTTTCATTCCATCCCCCCTCGCCGACATTATTTTATTTAACCATTTTCGCGCTTGTTTTGTCAGCGCTTTCAAAGAGATGATTATCTAAGAGCTTTCTGTCTGTCGGTGGCTTTGTCTCATCGGCTTTATATATATCTTTGTATCCCGGCTTTTGTTGTTACCCGACATCAATATCTCGCCGTCGATCGCCTTTCATAATTGTCACACATTTTGAACGGAAAACTGGTTGAATCGCTGCCTGGCTGCCTGACATTCGTTGTCTGTGGGTCAGTTTTGATATCTTTTTATTTTCCTTTCCCCATTAGTGCATTTTAGTGCACTTGCCGATCGGATGTCTCTTTCTGCATTTGTTGCCTTCTCTGTCATCTTCACTTGCACATTTCGAGTTGACAACTTTTTACTCAAGCGTTTTTTAATTGCGCCATTTTCGCCCCATCATGTGGCTAATGACCAACAGCTGACCGCATAATATTTAGCGCAAATGTTTCAAGGTTGCTTACGATAACATAACGGTACCAAGTCCGGTCTTATGAGTTCAGCGTGAGAACATACATATGAGCAAATATCAGTTTGATTAATAGGATCAGCGGTGCACAGGTTCATTAATATTTTAAGCTAACATTCTTCATAGTTATCAAAATATTGCTCTCAAAATATTGCAATCATTTATTTATATTTTGACGTCTGAACACAGCATGGTCGTTGAGAGCATGGGTTCTAAATACACCATCAGAAAAAAGTATAATCTTATCATGTTAATTTTTATTAAAAAAAATACAGTTTTAAAGAATCTTTAATATATGTATATATATATATTCATCTTTTCAACAAGGATTTTACAGTAGATCCCTTACTTTATACCGATTGGAATAATAATTTTGCATAATTGTTATTTAAAAATTTATTTAAGCGTTATACATCAAAGTTTTCTTTAAATTGAGTAATATTTTCCTAAGTGTTGCCAAAGCCGGTTGTTCATTCAAAACATAAACAAAATTCAACTGGGGTTCATTTTGCCGGCACCAGAAATGAACTCTCTCTCTCTCTTTGACAATCGTCTGCCATCTCTTTCTCACTTTGTCTGCTTGTCTCTTTCCAGCTCATCACGTTGGCAGCACGTGCAGTGGAAAACAAGAATAACGAACCAGACGCTCTCTTTCGAGGCAGAAGATACAGGCAAGTACCTCTGCGGATCAGCATCGCCGTTGATCGTGGGCTTATTTTATTTCTCTGTTTTTCAGTTCGATTTGAACACGCGAACGGGAAGCTTCGAAAAAGGCGGATAAAAACAAGCGGAAAAGCCATTTTCATTTGGCGGGAGAGCGCGTAAAAAGTGCATGCCGTTTAAAAAAAGAAAAGAGTGCTGATGGAGGAGTAAAATAAAAAAAAAATAGGTGTGGAAAAAAGGAGGAACGGTGCATAAATATTGAATCCCGGAAACAAATTATAGCAAACATGTCCTAATTGAATGAAAAGTATTTGAACTAACACTTATAAACCTTAAAGTTTACTCCAAAAAAATGTTATTTAAACCATTGATATTGAAACCATTAAACCATTGATATTTAATTGACAAAATGCAATTAAAGAGGATGTTAGATTTGAACGCAATTAAATCCTTTGAATAAATTTAAACTACCTTAAAATAAATCTTATATAATTTTACCAAAATGCAAGTTTTCATAAAAAAAAAAAAAACATTTCTACGTTTTAAAAATAATTATGATTAAAGTTAAAAGGAAATCTGTTTTGTATGGTTTCTTCCGAATGAATTTTTTGTGTACTTTATTACTTTTATTTTTCTCGGTGCGATTGCGCTTTTTGCTTACATTAAAGATTCCCCACTTTTTTTGCTGCCTTTAAAGCTATTTTGGGAGCTCAGTGCGTTTTCCTTTTCATTTCGAAATCCCGTTACCGTACATTTGCATCTTTTCCTCAGCATTTCCGTTGCGTGTGCAAAAATCGACATAAAAACAACAGCAGAATGCTAAAGTGCAGTGATGTGAAAAAATAGAGAAGGAAAAATATTGTATATTTTTAAATATTCGCCCTCAAGGCGCGTCCAGCAAAACAACCAACAAAAATAATAGGAACCGAAATAAGACCAACCCTTTGGTGATTTGCCCCATGCTAAAAATGCGTTGCATGTGTTTCTAATAATGAAGTGTTTATTTTGAGCGCCCGCAAGTGAAATGCATTTGAATGCCACAGAGCAGCGAGTCGAAATCAAGAGATAAATAAAATTCGAAAGTGTTTTCATATATTTTTGTTGTGCTGCTTGTATCCATCCTCCTTTTGTGGAGAGCCTGTAATTTGGATTGGATTATCTCCCTTGGCGGGTAAGCATCTTATCTGATATCTTTAATACCAGCGAATAAATTGTGATTTATGCACTTATTGTGAAATATTTTTCCCCGCTTCTGCAATCTTCTCGATTCTTCTTGGAGTCGGTTTAAAATATCTTTTATTTAATGGCTACAATCTCAAGGTTTTCTTCTTTATATTGCTGTGCTCTGAAAGATTTTATCGGATAGACTTTTTCTTTGATGTAATTTTAGTAATTTGGCATAACGTTTTAACAGTTCGTTTTAAATCAAATGGCTGCAGGTTATTCTTTAAGATACTTTTTTTTAAAGAGATCTTCAGATCAACAGGGGAATGTAGATGTCCCAGTTTTGGTGTTAAAATAAATGTCTTCTACGTCTATAGCCCCAAAATAAAAGTTATAAAATATAATTAGATAATTCTGATTTAAATATTTTTAAAATTCACAAATTTCACACATGTTCATATTAATATCAGCTTGTGATTAAAATTTTAAAAATGTATTAGGCTTAAAACAGCCTCCTTACTTTTTGGTTATGGTTTTTTATTCAATATAAAAAACATCTTTATAAGAAGACAACAATTTTACAGAATTTATGAATTGATGAGTATTTTTTCATTTTCTTTTTCTATCTGTATTTAATTTGATATTTTTATGAAAACACGAGCACAGGTGTTCTTGGTTTTTTAACGTTTTTACCCATTTTCCAAATTCCCGTGTATAAGATTACACACATCCCCATAATATTTTTGCTATATCAGTGTAATGGAATCGGTTGCCGTACTCATTTTTCTCCAATTCCCATTAGATGCTAAGGTACTTGATGCATTCCTGAAGCTTAGTTAGCCATTATTCTTTTGTGATTCGAGGGAATGTCAAACACTGGCCACGTTAAACCAGAGACATATAACAAATAACGCCTTGGAGTAAAACTTTTAAACAAAGCCCACAAATCATATTACACATCAGCGCCAGCAGCAACACAGCAGTAAAACTAGGCTCTGCCACGCCCCCAACGCCCACCGCCTTAGAGAAGGGTAAAGTGCATAGGGACAAGCCGAAACCTCGGGAAACACATCCAAGCAACTATTTTGCACACATAAATCTGACTTATGGCACCCACTCGCACACACACACTCAGTGCGTGGGAGGCAGCTCAATGGGGGCGTGGCAGGGCCCTATACTACACATAGAGAAATAAAATGTACTTTAATAATTGTATATTCGCAAACTTTTTTATTTATTTCAAAGTAATTTTTTACAATGGGTGCTATGCTTAAATATATGTTCACGAATAATTTGTTTACCGGAAAATTTTTTTAGAATGTTTGCCATGGTTAGCTATGTGTTCTTTTTTGTGTTATAAATTTTCAACGTTATTTTGTTAGTATCAAAAATAATTATAATTAATTAAATTATAAGACAATAATAAAAAATGTACTATATTGATTTAAGCTCAGTGTACTCCATTCCGAGTGCTGCCTTGTTGATGATGAGACACTGTTAACAGACCGCGAGAGCTTTTGAAAATGAAAAATGCTGATAACTGCAACAAATCACCGACTCAACCAGACACTCGGCGTAAATTGCAAGAATGTGAGCTCGTTCATAAAAACATCATTTATGAGGGGGAGTCTTCTGGGTTAACTGCACCTTTTGTCTATGCCCGTACCCATACACCCAGCGCCAAAAAGTGGCGCCTAATGATGAATGCAATTGCCGCAATTTGCTTTTACTATTATGACCAGCGAAAACAGGAAAAGGCTTCCCAGAGGCCAAACTTTGGAGATAGGAGGGAAGATGGGGAGGAGCTCTAAAGAAGCTGTAGACTCGTAAAATAAAAAGCGTTTTTCGGTGTTTGCATTTGCCAGTTTAATGCTCCAGAGGTAATCGGGAGAATTTGACCTTTTCGCAAGGCGAAAATCGTGTTTGTTGTTATACACTAGGCTTGAATTCGATTTTTGTGGCTTTAAACAGGGTGAAAAGAGTGGGGAATCGCAGACTTTGAGCAACTAGTATTTGCCATCTTCAAAACAATCTCTCTTAGTACAAAACAGAAAACTATTTATTTCTCATTTTGGTTGATTTTGTACAAATAACTGTGAATTAACTAATATAATAAATTTGTATATATATGTATTTTTTGAAGTTGTTAAATAATAATAAGTTTCCATCCTACAATTGTATCATTACTTCTTCAATTAAAGGTACACTTGGCAGTTAATATTGCCAATGACATCTTAAATGCAAGTAATGCCTCAAAATGGCCCATATTACTGTGTGTAATGAATATACATTTTCTTACCGATAGCTATTTTCCATACTCGGGCTTCTGCATTTCCCTTTTACGGCATTTTTCTTTTGCATCCGAATGTCATTATTAAATCGCATGGCAAGGGCATTGCACATTCGAGCACTTGCGTTGTTATGTTTGGGCTTACTGTCGCTGGAATTGACAGACAAATAATACGAGGAAAAATGGTTAACCGAAAAGGAATGATATACAAAATAAAGCTGGATTTGAAATGCTGGAGAGCGAAAGACGATGATGAAGATGCGCGCGAAAAACGTGACGAGCGATTTGTGTACTGAATTTTATATTCATTTATTTTTTTTCGTAGAAGAAAACAACGTCAACAAACAAATGACAGTGAGAAATGTGCCTTCGATAAAACCGTTTGGCAAAAAAAGTTGCATTCAAAAGTTTTTAGACCCAAGGAACTTGGAATGCAATCCAAATGTCAAGCAAGATGGGATGAAGTGGGTGAAAATGTAGGGAAAATGGGCAAGAACAAGTGTGCCATATAAAATATTGTTGTATTGATAGTTTTGCAATATTGTCAGTTTGACATTTTTGACATTAATGACAGCAGAAATTCTTCCGTAAAGTTGCAGTTCAGCTGTTTCTGAGTGCGTACGCCTAACTGGCGAACAAATATTTGTCAAATAATATCTTTTTATATTTCAGATAAAAGACCGTAGAAATCTAGTATTTAGCAAACAACAATTGACTGATTTTCTGTGCTCTATCTTCTTATCTTCTAGCCCCTTTTTCACTGTCTTTCAGTGTCTGGCATTTTGCTAAATTTTTATTTGTTCCCACAGTTTGTCGTTTGGCATAAATACATCGTTAGCGGCAGTTCCAGCTTTGGCTTCAGCTTCATCTTCAGCTTAGCTCTCCAGCATCACCTCGAATGAGAGAAAGAAAAACTTGCAGGAAGCTACAGACAAAAAGCTAAACTAGAGGGAGACAAAAACTACCATCTCTAGTCGCAGTCTTAGACGCTGTCTTAGTCGTAATAGTAGTTATTGCCTTACATGCACGTTTAATGTTCTTTGGAGGCGGTGCGACAGCTAAACTAAAGAAAATTTAAGTCTTAAGAAAAGCTGGAAGAAAACTTATGCATAATCTTTGATACCCTTTTCGTGAACGAGCATAAATTAAACCAGGTTAATTTTTACTTAATGGTATTCTTTCTATGAGTTTTTACTAGCCCTTAACTAGCAGTCAGTGATTTGTTATTAGCTCATGTGAAGGCATAAGCTATAATTTTTTATGTGGCGGTCATTAATTTTAAATAGGTATTTAGGATGTTCCTGAGCCAGTTTCCTTAAATATTCAACAATTCAGTAATATTTAAAGGTATTTGATTTAAAGACAGTTTTTGAAATAAAACATAACTACACACTTGTAAATGAAATTATCAAGTGTTTTCACTTCAAGATATATTAATGTATTTTTAGTACATTTTATGTTTGAATGATGATTTTATGTTTCAATATGATCCCTAGTAGTATAAGGGTATACTTAACGTAAGCCCCTATCCCATGTGTCGTGCCTCTGTACCCCGCTTTCATCGCCCCCGCTGCACTCTACTCCCCTGAACTTAGTTGAACCCCCCTGTATCCCATTGGAATGGCAAGTGAAGTGTCTGTGAAATGGTGCACAAGTGAAAACAACAAATGGGTCGCCTTGTCGGAGCATCTCCGAAGTGGCTCCCAACTCGGGCTCACGTTTTTGTTTTTTATTTTGCCGTCGATTAGCTGGCAGTTCATGTCAATGTCTGTCCCACAGTCAAACCCCCCTACAGCGGCCATGTAAAGTTTTTCTGCACAATTGCTCATCACTTTGAGCCGCAGCTTGAGTTGTCCCGACTCCTTGAGAATGAGAAATTGTCGCCGATTGTCACTTGTGTCCCCTCTTTTTTTCCCATTTGCTCTACTTATAAATCAACTGAATTCATAATTTTTGCAGGCATCTTTTGCCGACTTTAATGAAGTTTTGCCAAAGGGGTGCGCTCAATGTTGCTCCCTATTTTAGCGCTCAGCCACTCGAAAGAGGATGTGCCTGTTTATTTATACGAAACTTTTTGTGTGCAACGCTTGGTCTTATGCTGAAATGTGTTTTCGAGTTCATTAAGCGGGCTCTGTCAGAAGAAACCGCTAAAATTCGAAATGCGAGCAGTTGAAGTTTGAAAATCAATTCAGAGATAAGATGAGAAATTCATGATGACATAAATCTTTATATATGATTTATGTTCCCAAAGTACTTAATTATAGCACATTAATTAATATATGTTTTCATGGGTAAAACAACGAAGACAATTGACAATGGCTGAGCTTAATTACCTATACAAAATTAAGCAAAACACTTTGCCATTCAAATCACTCAATAAGTCCTCGATTTATACGGCAATCTCGGCTAGAATATTCCAATAATCCGAAAAGCAAGGAATCTATTCATAACCAGCACCTCCTTGGGCATTCTCTCACAATCGGAGATGCCAAAGTCAATGCCGGAGCTAATTCGCCACGACTTATGGAGATGCAGAGAATGGAAATGGCAGGAGGAACTCGGTGGCAGGCGGACAAACGCAAACTGATTTGGCTACCACTTAATACCCACTACCTATCGAGTCCAAAAGTTCCCCCGAGGTGCTGCACGTTCCCTCGACTCTCCCATGGCCAATAAACATATTAAAGACGTGCCACAAAAGCAATTACTTAGGCCGAAAGGGAGGATGGAAGGTATGGCATGGTATGCGCAGCAGATATATGCAAATAGGCTGGCATATATGAGCAGAACCGACTAGTTTGTCAACCAATTTGAGGGGGCCCGGCTCGTGAGAATCTTTTTGTCCAATGGAAAGGAAAAGAGCCTAGTCACGCTCGAGTTTTGGCCCGAAGAGCCAGTTATCTGTGGCCACATGGGCTAAGCAGAGACAGAGACTGGTGGTGAGGAAGAATGCTTTTTGCCAGAGTCTAAGTCCAAAAAATCCAAAATCCAGCATCCAGCACCCAGAGTTCCGAGGAGCGAGCAGCGAGGGCGTGCAAATAAATCTTGGGGCAATTACCAGCCCCAGACGCCCAAAACGGGCCAAGGCTAAACGGGTTCACAAGTGTTTGGCCAGAATGCTGTGTGTGACCTTTTATGGCTGGCCTGGAGTTGTGGGCAACTACCTTTCCTTCGCTAAAGAAGCACACACATTGCATTGCCATCGACTTAGACAATTTTTAAATTGTGTTCCTCCCGCTCGACTGCGTTTGGATTTATGGTCAAAAGATCTCTGACAAGTTCTGTGCCAGGAGAGCACTTTAAAAACGCTAAACAGTTTCCAGAGAAGCGATGGCAAAATCGTACACTCGTGAAATTATGTTCTTAGAGATAGAAAATGCTCTTAATTTAAAATTAACTAACAATAACAAGAGCCATTGATATTCACAAATAACACTTTACTTTTGAGAAGTTGAGTGTTATTCCAATATAATATAAAGCTTTGTAATTTTATTAAAGTTTCTAAAGTTTTAAAGCCTTTGTATCTTCGTATTTATTCTATATTTTAGGTATTCATGAAATTGAGGACTTTGTGTGGAGTAACTTTATTTTCCACTCATTTTGTAATATTTATTTTCTTGCAATTTTTCTCCTTGTGCAGCCAAGTATTCTGTCTGATTGAAGGCACGCCAAACTATGCGGCAAAGATGTACCACTTGCTCTGCGATCTATGGGATCCAGCGATCGTCCGTTTGGCTTCGATCTCATGGTCCTGGCCATTTATTTATTTATTTGTGGCTCTTTTCATGTCGTCAACTTGTTGTGACTTTGTTTGGCATACATAATAACATGAGGAACCACAGCAAGCACTTCGAGCCTTCATTCGAGCATCCATTGGGGCCAACATAGATCACCGACTGATCATCAATTCGCTGATTCTCCTCGGCTAAATGCTTAATGTCATTGCTGTGTTGTTGCTGCTTGTCGATTGTTTGTTTGCCCGAGCCGAGCTTTATTTTGTTTGGCATGTTTTATCTGCATCTTTCATGTTCGCATGTAATTTACTCTTGACTCGCCACGATCATCAGTTTTCAGCTTCAACCGAAGCGATCTTCGGTTGATCTGCTTTCTTGTTCACTCTTTTTTTTAGCGCATTTTCCAGTTAATTAGCTTTTGACTTGTCGCTGATTTGATTTGGCTTTGATTTGCGTTGGCAGTTTCGCGTTTCTACTTTGAGTTTGACTGATCTTCTCTACTTCGCCGTCAATTGTTCATGTGGAAGGCAAAACGTGCATTTTCTTAAGTGCTTAAATGGAAATTGAAGTGGAATTAGTTGCCTAACGAGTCCGGCAATTATCGGAAGACACTAAGCCGAAGCCAAGGAGTGTGACAGAGGGCAAAAGAAATAGACCGATCAATTAGGTAATTAGAGCTATAAGTGTTCAGTACTGGTCGGTTAACTTGTGGATCGATTTTTCTCTGAGAAACATCGGAATCAGAAGTGCTTAAAGTAGCTCAAGAACTTATTGAGTAAGAGTTTCCGAGAAGGGAATAAAAATAAAACAGATCCGACAAAATAGATTGCAAAACTTTATCAAATAGGGAAAAATTCCTAGAATGCTTAAGGAGCCCCTCATTGCCATTAAAGACCAATTATTTAACTTGAACTATTTGTAAAAGTGTTATAGATTGTTAAGGCACTTTAATAAGCTTTTAGTTTACATTAATTATTTATCTTATTGTTGTCTCACTCGAAGAAACTATTTTTTGCATTCCAGTCGGCACCCAAATACAATTACTTTAGGTCAACTAGTCTCAAAAGCAAAACTGTTAGTTGTAAAACTGGAAAACACCGTTTTATCTTCTCCTCCGCATCCAGTTAACCCAAAAACGCCGCAATTTAAAGATTTATATCACCAGCCAAATCACAAAGACAAATTGCTACATTAAGCGATAACCGATCTAAGAGAAATAACAACAATTAATTCAATTTGCATTTTGTTTAAATAAACAAGTGTGCCCCAAAGAAAAAGAGCTACAAAATGTAAACGATAACAAAACAAAAATGAAATTTTTGCCATGCATATGCAAATTAAAAAGAAGAAAAAAACCAATGCAAATTGAGGCAACGAGAGGGATTGCCGATGGCGGAACCTATCAAAGCCCGAAAC